TTGAATTTTTTCTTCAGTTCCCCCAGCTTGAGAAATGCTGAGCGTGTTCTCCCTCTTTAGCCATAGGACCATTAATTCATTTGGGCTTCATCTTGGCCTCTTATGGATGGTCTCCCTCATCCAGCAGATGATCTGTTTCTTGTTAAAGGTTTAATAAGGACATCTCTATGAATATGTTTTAATTTTAGATCTTGCCTTGAATTTAACTGGCCCAAGAGATCTCAATGGAAGCCACTGTGTTTGATAGACCCTGTTTTTTTTAAGACTGAAAGTGGAGACATCCCCATTCATTTATAACTGGAAACACTAAGAGTGATACTTTCTTATTTACCTTCATCTATCCTGCTGTGGAAGGAGCTCTGGTAGCACAGTGGTTACGAATTGGGCTGCGAACCTCAGGGTCAGCAGTTCGAAACTACCAGCTGTTCCATGGGAGAAGGATGAGACTTTCTGCTCCTGTAAAGATTTATAGCCTCAGAAACCCTGTACAGGGTCGCTATGACTCCATGGCACATAACAACAACAATAATAACATCCTGGTGTGGCACTGCGGGTTAATGCACCAGACTGCAAAGCAGTTTGAACTGCAAGGTCAGTGACTCAAGCTCACAAGTCACTCTTCAGAAACCCTATATAGGGCTGCTATGGGTCAGAACCGACTTGATGGCTCTTAACAACAACAACATACACGCTTAACTTAAAAATAATGGTTAAGGCATGCATCTTCTGTATATATCCTATAATGCATACTCTCAAAAATGTGACTTTGAGTTGGTTCCCACTCATAGCAATCCTGTATAAGGTTTCTGAAGCTGTAAATCTTCAGGAGCATAAAACCTCATCTTTCTCCCACGGAGCTGCTGGTCAGCTTGAAATGCCTATTTTGTGACTCACAGTCCAGTGCTTATCATATGGAGTCACCACACTCTGTCTCGTAAATGTCATGACACTTAAATTCTATGACAGACTTAACATCTTTGAGCTCCACTAGGATGGAAGCCTCATGGTTTTTACCATTTCACAATATCTGCAATACTGCTAAGCCCATAAATGGTTTCCTGAAAATACAGTTTTTATTTATTTAATTATTTTAAAGTATATAGTCAACCATATACTATTCTCAACAATTTCTACATGCACAATTAAGTGACATTTGTTACACTCTAAAGTTGAAACACATTCTTGATACATTCTTTTACCAATTATTTCATCACAATTATCTTAAACTCACTGCCCTCTAGCTTATCATTCAACTTTTCATGTTGCCACTGTCCATGTTATCTCATATAGATACTGCTTTAAAAGAGCACAGTGCTCAAAGCAGATGGACTTTACTAAGTAAAATCGGCTATTTTTGGTTCAAAGACAATTTAAGGGACTAGTTTCTGATAAGGTTTAAAATTTGAAGATTATCTCCTGACAATAGTTTTAATGACTCATCTAGCCAAAATGACTCCAGAGAATCTAGATTCTACTGAAATACTGAAATTCTGTTCTGTGTTTCCTTATCCACACTTTTTATTAGATTCTTCTACAGAAATTTGGATCAAAATATTTAATTGTGGTAGACGGGCACCAGCAGTTCTGCAACTATTCTTAAATAAATAAATAACAGCTATAAATGGAATAAATACTTGCAGTAAACAAGCCAGATTTTTATATATATATATATATATATATATATATATATATATATACACACATACACACACACACATAAATGCTGTGGAGTCCTGGTGTGGCACTGTGGGTTAATGCACCAGACTGCAAATCCATTTGAACTGCAAGATCAGAGGTTCAAGCACACCAGCTGCTCCTTAGAAACCCTATACAGAGTCATTATGGATCAGATTCAACTCAAAGGCACTTAACAACAACAGCAACATATATATTTGTGCATGCAATATATGTATATGTTTCTATATATTTGGGGTGGATACAACTTTGTGTGTGTGTGTTTATATTTTGTACATATGCATATATGTATGTATGTATGTATGTTTGTGCATGTGTATATATGTATATTGGGAGCATGGTCACTCCATGCGTGATAAGCACTGGACTGTGAACCATAAGGTCTGCGGTTTGAGCCTGCCAGCCTCTCCTCAGGTGAGAGATAAGGCTGACTGATCCCTCAAAGATTTGAAGCCTAGAAAACCCTATACACCGGGACTATATATATATGTTGTTGTTGTCAGGTGCCATTGAATCAGAACCGACTCATAGCGACCCCATGCACAGCAGAACAAAACAATGTTCCATCCTGGGCCAACCTCACTACTGCAGCCACACTCAATGCCATCAATGATGCCACCTGGCCGATCCATTTCGTTGGGGGTCTTACTCTTTTTCTCTGACCCTCCACCTTACCCAGCATGACATCCTTCTCCAGCGACTGTTCTCTCTGGACAATGTGTCCAAAGTATGAGAGACGAATATATATATATACATGCATATTTGTTGTTGTTAAGTGCCATCGAGTTGTTAAGTGCATCCCTATAGAGGGTTTCTGAGGACCGCTAGTAAGCTTGAACTGCCAACCTTGCAGTTCAAATTGACTTTTCAGTCTAGCACATTAACCCATAGTGCCGCATCAGTACTCCTACACACAAACACACACACACACACACACACACGCATGTGTATATATGTATACACACATAGGGAGTGTGGTGGCTCCATAGAATAAGCTCTAGATTGTGATTCACAGGGTCTGTGCTTCAAGCCCACCAGCAGTTCTGCAGGATAAAGATGAGGCTTTCTGCTCCCACAAAGATTTAAAGCCTCAAAAACCCTACACAGCTTCTTTAGGAGTCAGAACTATTTAACAACAATATCACAGAAACATGTTTTTTGTTTTTGTTTTTGTTTTTTCCTTCTCCCCTAAAGATTTACAACCTCAGAAATCCTACACAAGGTAGTTGAGTCCAAATCTACTCGATAGCAGTGGTTTGGGTTTTGTATGTGTGCTGTTGTTAACAAAGAGAAATGTGTATGATATCAGTTGTTGTTGTTGTTATGTGCCATGTAGTCAGTTGTGACTCATAGTGACCCTGTACAGGGTTTCTGAGGCTGTAAATCTTTACGGAAGCAGAAAACCTCATCTTTCTCCCACAGAACAGCTGGCAGTTTCGAACTGCTGACCGTGAGATTAGCAGCCTGATTCGTAACCACTACACTACCAGAGCTCCTTATGCTATCAGTAATACTACATAATATGATACCTTAAAATGTGAAATTAAATAATCCTAACAATTAATGTTCAACCACAATTTATACATATTTTCCTCCTTCCTCATAACAACTTGCTGTTGCCCAAGACAGCTTGACATGTACAGTAAGAAAAACAAAGATTGATGTCAGATTTATAAATCATTGTGTTAGTTTATTAAAGTAATTTTCTGCTCCTTTTCAATTTTCAAATGGTAACTTAAAAGATAAAAGATGCAAAACGTGTGCTATAAAAATGAAAAATAATGCTGAATCAAGATTTAAACTTAAGATGGCATTGAATCAAAGCTCTGTCATCACTTAAAAATTAGTTGTTCTTTCTAGAAAATGCATTTAAAGAAATTCAAGGACATATTTAATTCAGATGTATTCAGTCGTTCATGTAAAATGGGAAAAATCTGAAAAGTTCCTTATATTTTTAAATTTCAGAACACAGTTGTGGTTCTGAACCAAACACCACTGTGGTTCTGTGAAATTAAAATGAAATGAAACCAAGTTGAACCTGCTACCCGTATGCTCTGCAGTTTTCTGTTCTGATTTTCAGAAACCTGTAGAATATCAAGTGGCAATATGGGACCATAAAAATAAGCCCAAAACATAATGAATTCACTAGCACTTGGTAAATCATAGGGCATCATAACTCCATTTGTCAGGGCCGATGCATAGAGTGCACAAAAGCAAAACAGTCAAGAAATCTTTGGGGGACCAATCAAAGAATAATAACTACTGGTAATCAGGAATTTGAGGACTATTTTGAGAACTCACAGAAACAGTGAGGAAACAAAAGGAATGGCTCTGAATTTCTAAGAAACAGCAGTCTAGCAACCACAGAAAGAAAATAAAATGGTTGCCCTTTGGAACAAAGACTCGGAGTCAACTATGAACAGAAGAGTCATAAACACACAATTTTCAAATAACATCTGGAGATACAACCCAAATGTAGATATTTCATATCGGCAGAGTATATAAAGTAAGACCAATTACTGTTGGCTTAAACCACAAAACTGGAAAGTAATATTTGTGCATTTTACATTAAAATAAAAAGTGAATCAAAGCCACCATACAACGAGAACTGTATTTCAATTCAAAAAAGTATTGTTATTTAGACAGATTCTGTCAGAGTGTCTACTCATATCCCATTTAGCAATCTGTAGGGAAGCTAAAGAATGCTTTCAAAATTGTTTCTTTAAGATGATATCCAATGTTTCCACATACAAAGTGAAATACTATCATTGTGGAAGTGTCTATGTTACTTTAGAAAGTTTTCAGAAAACTTCTGAAAGAAATCATTAACATTATCACTATATTCAAATTCTGGAATGAACAAGTAATAGGAAATAAAATTCCCCAATGTGACACAAGTGAAAACATAAACAAGAAATGATAAAAGCTTTCTTTTCTTTTATTAATGGTGTCTTCATGTCATAAATTAAGCCAAAGCACACATCTCTGATGGAAAGTCCAAGACTTTCTAATGATTTTTCCTGAACTTTAAATATAATTATGAAGCTTCCTTTCCACCTCCAACTTCCAAACCATTCTGAAGTCATGCAGCACTCTTAACACCTACACACATAGACACACAAAGGGGAATGAGTCTTACCAAACCATCACAGTTGCTAATGGCAACAGAGGTTCCTGGAATGTCCATGATGTCACCAACGTAAGCACAGTTAGTCTGCAAAGGCTCTGTTTTCCAGATCCTTTCTGGAGCACTTCCTGGTTGATGATCGTTAATGGGGTCAGTTATATTCCCAGGTACCAGAGATGTCTCATGCCATTCCACAACAGCCCCGGGAGCTACTAGTTGGTTGTTGGGCTTTAGTCGGAGATGAAAATCTCTTCCAAATGCCGTGATGTTAAAAAACAACTGCTCAGGGTTGGAAGACACGTCCCTTGTTGACCTCTTTTTGTGATTTGCAGAAAGAATATGGGAGAGATAGTGTCCTTCTAGATTTGTGCTTATTGGAGTCACCAGCTCATACTCTCTCTGTCCCTTTATCGGTAAATCTGTGGGATAAAATTATACAATTATAGAACCTGTGCAAAAAGAAAACAAAAGAGACTATAGCATAGAAAGAGTGTTCAGCTGACAAGGTTATATTTCAGTTTGCATAATAGACCTATTCCATACTCATCTTATAAATATTGCATTTTGAGAACTTCAGTCATTCCTCAAGCGCATTCAGATAACAGTCTGTTCAATATATCTTTTAAAAAAAAAAAACTTAGAGCTTATCACAATGTGACTATAGAAAAATTGACAAGATAAATCATAATCAATTTCCATTGACTATATCTGGCTTGATTATAATCATGATATGTCACCCAATTAACTTTTTATTGACATAGCAGTCATTTGATACAAACTTTTAACAAAATCGTTATTATACATAGAAGAAAATTTTATCTGACTGCTTTATTTCCTTATAATTCATATTAATTTCCATAGCTACTTTATATTGTATATACCATTCCCTTGTGGTTTTTACATTATATTTTGTGGTACTTTGTGATACACTTGTAGTTTTTGACATTATTTCCAACATACTTTGCAAATGAGGAAACTGAAATTCAGGAAGGATATGTATCCAAGGTCAATTATGAATCCAAGTCACATTTCAAAGCCCATACACTCATTCTGATATGCCATGATATGTTCTAGAAATCACATTATATTTTTAGATCTGAGGAGGTGTTAAAGAAGAAATAATTATCTACAAATAGAATATTTTTTGAATATGCAAGTTAATCAAGAAAGAATGCTGTTCTCATTTTGAACCATATTCCTTCCATGGGACAGATACCCTGTTGAATAGTAACATGTATTTCAAGTGCATTGGCAGCCACTTTAAAGTTGAATTTAATTGCAAAATTAGGACATTGGAAAATCTGAGTAATATGTCTACTAAGCAATAGTAGGGTAGATAATATATTGAATGAACCATTTACCCTTTAACAGAAGTTATTTACAAAGCAGAAACACAGTGGATATTATAGAATAAAGAAGGGCACCAAGGATAAAGAAAGAACACAAAAAGGAAAAGCAAAAGACCTAACTTGAAAACCTTCTAATCTTCATATTTTGAGCCTCAAACTAGACCTGTAGTGTGCTAATAATGTATCCTAAAAAAATACATAATTCATACAAAGAAACTGCATTATTTTGCCTTGTTTGTGTCAATAAATTATTTCGAGTTTGAGGTCCATACATGAACTTAAACCTATGCCTTAAAATATTTTTACAGAATTGCTATGGTTTCATTATTTTCCTGTTTTTTAAATAGATATCTTAAAGTGTACGGTACCAGAAGAAACATAAAGGCAATTTGTAACTCTGGCAATTCTTTGAGTTATCATCTTGCCACTTGTAATGACCAATGTATTAAAACAAAAATATCTCTCTTTATTAAATGCATAAAGCAAGTAACACTCTTATAAACATTTACTAGGCAAAGAAGAAGTGTCAATTGCAGTTTAAGGCAGCAGAGCGAAGCCTGGAGCCAATACTGGTATCAATGCTACAATCCTTTCTTTGCGGGCTATGTCATAGTGAGCAAATGACATGAAGTATTAATATGTAAGCATAGACACAAAGATTTGAATCCATGGTAAATATTTTTATAAATTTTGTTTCAAAGTAAGAACTCAACTACTTAAGGAATGAATACAAGAGTCATGGGAACAGAGTGATGGAAGGGAAAGTTTCCACAGGAAGGGATCAAGCTCTTGGGTGTGGGCTGACAAGTTGCCCCAAATTAACTCTAAATCCCTTGAGGACAAGGAACTTCCATTCAAGTTGGTGTTTCCAATAACTCCTCATATAAAATTTGATACTTTCCAGGATCTCTTAGCATTTAAACTTTCTCATTATTTATTAAATTAGTAATGCAGGTGACCAGAGAACCTTCTCTTTGTCTGTGTTGGTATACACTGTGATTTAACACTTTACCCAAGAAATATCCAAGACCTGAAAGAGTCTGGCTATACCAATTATCTCATTTATAACTATTTATAACTTTTATCTACTTTTTACTGTTTCAAGGAAAGAAGAAAGCAATGCTTGATTTCAATGTATGGGTTCTCCATCTACATTTATGGAAACTCATACAACCAAAGAGTAGAAAACATACTGATAACTGGATAAAGGGACTAGAGAACAAGAACATTTATGAAGTGTGAAGGAAAGATTCTCCACACCCAAAGGGATACTCAGATCCTCACACTCATAATAAGTCATAGAAGAAGACTTCAAAAAGTTTGTGGAAAAAAAGGAATGTAAAGATAATGGAATTTTTCCATGAACTTTTTGAAGTCCGCTCATATAGCATAGATTCTCTGGGAAGGTTCCATTTTATCCACTGTGAGATAATACAAAGGGGCCTCAACAAAGGTTATATAAAAGAAAATGCAATTAAAAGATAATGAAACTTTCCCATGAGCTTCTGAACCCCCACATACATTTTATTGAAAATAATGAGAGTGCATTTCTGAGTCTTTGTCTTTCATAATGCTAAATAATAAATCAAACTGAAAATGTACATATAAGAAATGTTTCTGACAGAGATGGGCAACTTGGACATTGGATACCCAAATGGGGACTACAAAGGCAAGAAGTGACTGGCTTACAAGCTTTCAAGAGGGAACCTAGAACTAGGGGGCATGGAGGAAGGCAGAATCTCCAGTGAGTACTATCCAATCTGTCTAGGCGGAGCTGTTGAAATGAAACACAAAAGGGTCACTTGCGATACAATAGTGAATGATTGTTATCAGGACTGATTGTGAGGGTTGGAAATGTAAAGATAGACGTTTTGTAGCAAGGAAGGGAGTGATTAACCCTCCAGTCTAGGAGGAGAGGTCTCTAGGACCATTAACAGAGAGGAGCCCAGTGTGGGACCCTACCCAGAGAAGCAGCGAAGCCCCGAGATGGAGGCAGAGACGATGACGTGGAGTGATGAAGCAGCTGGGGACTTTGTATCCAGAGAGGGAGAGGGACTGTGTGCTGAAGAATGGGGTGGGGGAGTGTAGGGGGTGGGTTTATAGGGTATACCCTTTGGTCGGCTGATGGTGCATGGAGGGGATTGGAACCATGGCAATGAAGCGATGTACAGTGGAATGAATGTAAAACTAAAGTTCTCCCATGTAAAATACCATATAATTCACAATAAAATATGGGGAAAAAGAAATGTTTCTGAAATTTAACTGAATTAATGTTTTATCCAGTTGAGAAATAAGGTAATCGGGGAAAGAAGCACATTCACAACCTCTCAGACTACACATGTCCCTGGATTGTAGCTATCTGAATGATCAAAGGAGCTACACAACCATCTGCTAGTCACAAGGCATCAATAATTCAGTGGAAGAGTTTTGCCTTCTATGCAGAAGACCCAGGTTCAATTCCGGCCCAATGCATTTCATGTGAAACCACCACCCACATGTGAAGGAAATTTAAGTGTGTGGCACTGTAGGAAAAACACTGGACTTGCTAAACGAAAGGTCAATGGTTCAAACCCACCAGCCACTCCTCAGAAGCCGTATATAGGGTTGCTATGAATTGGAACAGACTCAACAGCACTTAAAAAACAACATGATGTTGAACAGGTTGCAGTAAAGTTTCCAGACTAAGATGAACCTAGAAGCCCTGGCAATCTATTTCTCAAAAATTAGCCAATGAAAATTCTATGAATCACAATGGTCCAATCTACAACTTATCCTGGTGATAAAACAGGACAGGGCAGCACATAATTTCATTTTGCTGAGGGTCAAATGATTTAGGGATGAATCAATGATAACTAACAAGAACAAGTGCTGCACATTGTGATTGAGAACATATCTCAACTCCTCACAGTAATCAGAGTAGGTTATTAACATTCCTATTTTGCAAATGAGAAAGCAGACCAAGAAATCTGACACACATCAAGCAAATAATAAAAGGAAACTCTCAGTTCTGACCATTTCAACTCTGAAGTTCATGTTCCTATGCCCTTATTCATTTCATAAGAGATGAAATGACTTGCTGTAGATTTCTAATTTATGATTTGACTTTATAAAGGGAAACTGCCACAGACAAACAATTTTTCATCTAATGTAGTTTTTGTTTTGTTTTTTAATGTTTTATTGTGAATTATGTGATAGTTTATATGGGAGAACATTAGTTTTACATTCATCCTATCGTATATCATTTCACTGCCATGGTTACAGTCCACTCCATGCATCATCAACCAACCAAAGGGTATACACCACAAGCCTGACCCCCGGTCATCAGCATACAGTCCCTCTCCCTCTCTGGGTCTAAAGTCGCCAAATATTCCATCTCTCCACGGTCATTGTCTCTGCCTCCATCTCAGGCATCACTGCTTCTCTGGGTAGGGTCCCACTCTCCACTCTCCTCCCTTGATGGTCCGAGGACCCGCTCCTCAATTAAAAAGTTAATCACTCCCCTCCTTGCTACAAAATGTTTACCTTTACATTTCCAACCCTCACAAGCAGTCCTGATAACAATTATCCCCTATTGCATCACAAGAGACCCATCCGCATTTCATTTCATCAACCTCGCCTAGACAGATTGGATACTACTCAGTGGAGATTCTACCTTCCTTCACACCCTCTGAATCTAGGTTCCCTCTTGAAAGCTTATAAGCCAGTCACTTCTTGCCTTTGTAGCCCCCCCATTTTGGGTAGCCAATGTCCAAGTTGCCCATCCCTGTCTACTCTGTGTATGGAGGGGGTGGGAATGATCCTGGCTGTAAGGATTTGTTTCCTCTTTTGAGCTACTGCATCCATAGGTGTAGGTCAAGTTCATCAAATTGTATCAGATTACTCTTTTTTTCTTCTTCTTTCTACTTCTGGTTGAGCTCTGATCATCCAGTCATTGAAGCTAGGTCAAGTGGGTATTATCTCCAAGTGTGGGTGTTCTTGTGCATATGCCCTCTCTTCCTATTAGCTAGATGCTTCACTCTCCACTCCAGTCTTCTGTGGCTGTCACTGACTCTGGGCCCAAGAGTTCCCAG